ACGTTTTTTGGGGGTTTTTTTCAAAAAAGGGTTTTTTTCCCAGAAAAAAACGCATCCAGACTACTTTCACTTTCAAAAGTGAGCTCGGAATTTGCATATCCATGGGAATTTGCATATCCTCTTTTGGAAAAAGAACCCCATAGTTTAGACATGCCCTTAGCTTCTGCCAGATGTGGCTACACGGGGAGTCAGAACCTATCACATGACAGGCCCAGCTAGGGACAGGGAATGTGCAGATAGATCAGTAGTGGGCAGCCTCCGGCCCCTGGGCCACATGCGGCCCCAGCGGGGTCGATGTGTGGTCCGTGAGACGTTTGTTACCACTGCCCATAGGTAAGGTTGCCAGATGCCGCTGGTTCCATCTGTGTTGTTTTTTCCCACCCGCCGTTACAAAAGTGACTCACGGGAACTGAGGAGGGTGCTGATTGCTGACAGCGCTGACCAGGAGAGCCGTGTGCTCCCCCTGCAGCCAATCACAGCGCTGCTACGGTTCAGTTGGCACCCTCCGCGAATTCTAGCTACGCCAGCGCAGTGAGCAAAACTGCCCTCTCCCGGGAGCCTGTCTTGGTTACGACAATCTGGTGGCCCCCTGAGATGAAGGAGGGCCCCCTCGCTAGCCTCGGTTGCCCATTGCTGAACTAGATCCAGCAGTACCCAGTACTCAGGGTGATGCTGGAGAGGCATTGTGCTCTGATGGAACTGATACTCATGGCCGTGCGGAAGGATCCATCTCCGTGTAGCACACTGGCCAAATGTCCCAGGGGCATCTGTAACTGCCTGGTCCGTTCACATAGTGCAGAGCTTGCTGGAAGGGCGGGCAGAGGAGGTGGGTGTAGAAGGCAGGCGAATTCCTAGCCCTGTGGGAGGGATGGTCTTTTATTGCGTTTACCAAGTGCCTTTGGGACGGCCTGGGGATGGCTTTGGTCCTGTCGATCCATTGGTGTGCACCAGTTTGCCATGCTGGGGGCTCTTGAGAACGTCTGCTGTGAATCCAGAGTGAGCCGCCTTCTTCCATATACACGGGCGGGCTTGGGAGCCCGTCCACTCAACGGCTGCTTCTCTTGGTGCAGGGCGGGGCCGTTCGCTCCAGCCGGAGGAAAACAGGGGAGAAGATCAAATACCGACTGGTGGCCGTGCCCCATGGGAACGACATTGCCTCGCTCTTTGAGTTGGACCCCACCACGCTGCAGAAGACGGATTCCTTCGTCCCTCGGTAGGGGGGAACGCCCAGATCCTGCTGTGAAACCTCCCCGGATGAGTCGGCTTCCTGGCCTGGTGGGGTCAGGGCTGTGAATTCGTTAGTTCTCACCGAGGTTGGGTTGCTCCGGAAGCGGGAAAGGGGCGGGGTCAAGGAAGGGAGCATAGAGTAGCAGTCACAGCCTGAAAGCCTAGTCTGGGGAGATGGTCTGTTCTTTCATGGGGGGGAGGGGGCAGATAAGGAAAAGTCTGGGGTAAGTGGCCCTGTCGGTTCTGAGCCAGCTGGAAAAGCCGTGCCCTGCGCTCCTGTGGTTATTTAAGACCCCTTGGTGCTTTTTGCAGGTATAGGGCCTTGCCATGGGGTTCTGGCCAAGTTCCCACTTGGGTAACTGTATCAGTGGGTTTGACGTGGTGCCCCTCTGGAAAGTGCTTCCAGGCCTTTCTGGCTGGGAAGTGCGATCAGGATGGGACCTTCATTGCCGCAATTTCAGGAACTCCTTCGTGAGGCTGCGCCACCTCTGCACGAACACTTGGATCCAGAGCACCGACGTGCCCATAGACATCGATGAAGAGAGACCCATTCGACTCATGGTACGTCCCAGGCTGGGTCACAGCTCAGTGCAAATCAGCCCTGGGAAGTCAGAGTTTGTTTCTCTTGGCCACAGACGTACAATGTCTGTTCTTGATCATCTTGAGGAGGATCAAACAACCTAGAACTCAGACCTAGAACTGAGCACAGCGACCTAGAACACAGCCACAAAACCTAGACCCCACCTGCAGCAACCTAGAACCAACTATAGCAACCTAGACCCCGCCCCCATAGCAACCTAGACCCCCTCATCCAAAGCAATCTACAACCCATCCCCACAGCAACCAAGAACCCATCCACAGCAACGTAGAACCAACTACAGCAACGTAGAACCCAACCACAGTAACCTAGAACCCAACTGTCCAGTGCACGAGCTGATGGCAGTCAGGAGGTAGAAGGGGAGCAGGGTGGCTCTTGTTGGACCAGAGGTGGGTTCTAATGAGGGTGACACTGCCACTCTTACAGCTCGGCACCTGCCCCACCAAGGAGGACAAAGAAGCTTTTGCCATTGTCTCTGTGCCCGTGTCGGAAATCCGGGACCTGGACTTCGCCAACGACGCCAGCTCCATGCTGGCCAACGTGGTGGAGAAGATGAACGAGGGCTTCATCAGCCAGAACGACCGCAGGTAACGAACCCGGCCATGCGGCTGGCCCCTGGCCAAGCAAAGGGAGGCCACGCTCGGCTCGAAGGCAGGGCACGGTCTGGGGGCCATGCCTTATCTCTGGTACTCCTGGCGCTGCATGGCCTAGAGCATTGTTGCAGCTCCGTCATGCTGCCCCGCTTGTGGCCTGCTGACCCAGCCTGCTCCTCCCCAGGGACGCGGCAAGGAAATCAGATTGTGTGGGGTCAGTGCCAGCCCCTCCTTTGCAACAAGAGAAATACCATAGGCGCTGGGAGATGGGCGTGATAGCGCCGGGTTGCTTAGTCACGGTGTTATTTATAGATGGGCGGGTTCTTGACATTTCCTAAGCAAAACACACCAATCTGAGCCACTTCCCCTTTGCCACCCAAAGACAAGCTGATCCCCTTGGGCAGAAGGGCTTGTCATAGAATCCCCGGGCTGGAAGAGACCTCAGGAGTCACCGAGTCCAGCCCCCTGTCCGAAGCAGGACCAACCCCAACTAGATCAACCCAGCCAGGGCTTTGTCAAGTCGGGACTTAAAAACCTCTAGGGATGGAGATTCCACCCCCTCCCCAGTGAACCCATCCCAGTGCTTCACCACCCTCCTAGGGAAATAGTTTTTCCTAATATCCAACCTAGACCTTCCCCACGGCAACTTGAGACCATTGCTCCTTGTTCTGCCGTCTGCCCGCACTGAGAACAGCCTCTCTCCAGCTTCTTTGGAACCTCCCTTCAGGAAGTTGAAGCCTGCTCTCAAATCCCCCCTCACTCTTCTCTTCTGCAGACTAAATAAGCCCAGATCCCTCAGCCACTCCTCATAGGTCAAGTGCTCCAGCCCCCTAATCAGTTCTGTTGCCCTTCGCCGGACTTGTGCAAGAGAAGCCAGGTCCTGACCACTCCTGGTTATTGACTGTTCCCAGATGACAGGGTATTAGTCCCGCCATCCAGGCTAAGTTCTGCTCAATTGCACAGGAGAAGACAAGAGCGGCCAGTGTGGGTCAGACGAAAGGTCCATCTAGCCCAGTGTCCTGTCTTCCCACAGTGGCCAATGCCAGATGCTTCAGAGGGAACGAACAGAACAGTCAATCAACAAGTGATCCATCCCCTGTCGTCCACTCCCAGCATCTGGCAGTCAGAGGCTTCTGGACACCCAAAGCATTGGGTTGCTCCATCTTGGCGAATAGCCACTGATGGACCTATCCGTCAGGAACGTATCTGATTCTTTTTCTAGTTAGGCACGACTTTAAGGGCTGTAAACCAGAGGTGGGGAATTTCAGGCCTGGGGGCCGGATGCGGCCCATAAGGCTCAGTGCCCCTCCCCCAGCATTGGGCAGCCCCACTGCAGAGCACAGAAGATCTAGGCTGGCCCCCCCAGGGTGTGGCATGCAAGGGGGATGTGGGGAGTGTCTTTCTCCTCACTTAGGAGTCTGGAGACCACGTCAGTGAGGTTTTTTTGTTGCTGTTTTTTTTTTGTTTGCTTCTCACTTTTGTGCAGCCCCCACCTGATTTTACTGTGGGTCAGTGGTTCCTGACCCAAAAAAGGTTTCCCGCCCCGATCTAAACCCTCGTGCTTCAGGCCATAAACCAAGATCAGGAATTACTTCTCCGTGGCTGTTATGGGACTTGAATCCTGCACAGAGGCCCAATGCATGGTCTATACCCTGTGTAAGTTCCTCAAAGCCTAGCTGGGGTCTCATTTGTTGTATGACCCCCCTGGCATTTGGAGGTTAGTCTGAAGATGAGGAGCAGTTCCAGGCTGGTGCGGTCCCAGGGGGCGTGGACGTGCCGGCAGATTGTAAAGATGTTGCGTGCTGCCCCCTTGGCAGGTTTGTGATGCAGCTGCTGGAGGACCTGGTGTTTTTCGTCAGCGACGTCCCCAACAACGGGCAGAACGTTTTGGACATCATGGTGACCAAACCCAACCGGGAGAGGCAGAAACTCATGCGGGAGCAGAACATTCTGAAACAGGTGAGTGGGTGGGGAAGGGAGGGGCATGGTGGGAAAGGGAGGGGCGTGGTGGGAAGAGGTGGGTTTGAACCAAAACAATTCAGCCGTCGAACCCGCACAGAACCGCAGGGAAAACGTGCGTTGGGGGCCGGGGAACAGGCTGCTTAGAGCGACCCTGGAGAATAGCAGAGCATGTCTGGGCAGCCTGCTTGTCTTCTGCAAGGGCATTTTCACAGGGCTGTTTGGAGTTATTTAGAGTCGGGGGCAATTTGGGGCAACTGAAAGGTCATTCAAATAGGGGGTTCTTAGAAATTGGGTCGGCAAACTGTGCTGGTGTTATGCAAGCGGCCATCTGCTGCCAGCTAGTCTTGCCCCGCAGCACCTCCGGCTAGTCCAGTCCTGCCCCTGCCACAAACCTCTCTCTGCCCTGACCCCCAGCTGGCCAGCTCTGCTGACGTGCCTCCAACCTGACCAGCGGCCCCCGCTCCTATTCCAGCCGTGGGCTGGTTTTGAGCCAAGACGGTTGAACCCACTGAAGTGGTGGGTGTCGCAAACACTCCCTTGTGGGAGATGGTCGGATTCATTGTGCCTGGGATCAGAGCCCAGATGCATCCCTTTCGCTACCAGGGCGGGGCCCGTTCCCCAGCGTGAGTTCGCAGCGGGGCTGGTGTAAGCAGGCAGGCATTCCCTCACCTCACTGCTAGGGTCACGGGAGCCGTAGAAATGCCAGAGACTAACTCGAGAGCACCCGAACCGCCGCTCTCAACACAGGTTGGGAATCCAACTCCCTCCTGGTCCCCTCCTTTGTGTCCGATTAGATCTTCGGGATCCTGAAAGCCCCGTTCAAGGACAAGGGCGGGGAAGGCCCCTTGGTGCGGCTGGAGGAGCTGTCAGATCAGAAGAACGCCCCCTATCAGTACATGTTCCGCCTCTGCTACCGGGTGCTGCGGCACTCCCAGGAGGACTATCGCAAGAACCAGGTGGGTCCGTGTGGCGGGGGGGGGGTCATGTGGAGAGGCCCCGGACAGGGATCGTGGCACCGTTGCGCCAGGCGCTGTACGTCCACACCCCAGAAACCCTGCCCCAAAGGGAGCCGGCCATCTCCGTCTACTCGACGGGAGCTCACCAGCACGGCTAAGCTGGCTCCCGAGCTGTGGGCTTTTGGACTCCCCTGGGGAGGACAATTCCTGCTCTTCCCGCTGGAGTTGTCGGCCACTTGGGCCATGAAGTAACCGAATTTCCAGGCCCCGGGTCTCCTCACTGCTTCCCAGCCCTGCTGTCCCTGGGCAGGCAGGAGCCTCCTCCTCTCTCTCCGGGGTGCCTCTCCCTCTTGGCCCCCATTTAACACGGACTGGAGCTCAGTGGTCAGAGCAAGCGGGGCTGTGACGGAGGAGCCGCTGGGCGGGATCCCAGCTGGCCGGACAGCGCGCAGGGCCTAGGACTGAGGGAGAGGGGAGCTGGAAGCAGAGTGCCCTGAGGAAATGGCTCACGGAGGTCTGAGAGGCGGGGCAGCGGTCAGACCTGGGGGGAGGGTGGGATCCGAGCCTGTTGCCTCGGCCAGTGGGGAGCCTGGACGCCGGCTGGGTCTGTGGGCGCGGGGCCCTGGCGGGGCAGTGTCCGAGCGCCAATTCCAGAGGCGGCACCTCCTCCTTGTCGGAGCGCTGCACCCGCCGCCAGCCCTGGGCCTTCCTGCCCCCCGCAGCGCCCCTCCCCCTGCCTGACCTCTGGTCCTCCTGCCCCGCCAGGAGCACATCGCCAAGCAGTTCGGCATGATGCAGTCCCAGATCGGCTACGACATCCTGGCGGAGGACACCATCACCGCCCTCCTGCACAACAACCGCAAGCTGCTGGAGAAGCACATCACCAAGACCGAGGTGGAGACCTTCGTCAGCCTGGTGCGCAAGAACCGGGAGCCCAGGTGGGTGCCGGGCCCCCCGGTCGCTGCCCCCAGTGATCAGACCCCTGGCCCGGCCAGCTGGGGCCTGGGGCACACTTGTGTGCAGCCCGATGAGTCTGTCGCGGCCCTAAAGGAGACCCTGCGCCGGGCGCGGCGGGGGCTCGGGTAGCAGGGAGGAGCAGGGCCCTGCTCCAGGGGCTGTACAGGGACAGGAAGAAGGCAGAGGCTGGGGGCGTGGAGGGAGTTGCCGGCCCTTGCAGAGTGGGCAGAACGGGAAGGGGGTCCGGGCCTGTGGGGGTCGGAGCGGCTAGCGGAGCCCGGCAGGGAGGAATGGGGCAGGGCTGCAGAGGCTGGGGGGTGGGAGTAGACGCCCCTTGCAGGGTGTGGGTGGGGGAAGCGGGCAGACGTCTCGCGGGAGGATCGCAGTGGGTGGCTAATGCTGCCGGGGGATGGACCTGGGCCTGGCGAGCCGCAGAGCCAGGAGGACTGGGGAGGTGGAGACCCCGACAAAGGGCAGGTGCCCTCTTACGTGGAGCAGCCGCTGGCGGCTAGATGGGGAGGACCCCCCGGGTGTGGAGCTGGATTTCCCATCCCTTGGGAGCGTCCACTCCCCAAGCCTCCAAGGCCTGTTCTGTGCCTGAGACCAGCAGCATGGCTGGGCCCGGTTAATGAGAAGCGTCGCCTTGCCAAAGCATCTGTGCGGGTCCCCTCCCCCCCTCCAGCCCAGCCCCCCCGGCCCGGCTGACGGGGAGCCGGCTCTCTTGTGCTCTCGGCAGGTTCTTAGATTACCTCTCGGACCTGTGCGTGTCCAACCACATCGCCATCCCCGTCACCCAGGAGCTGATCTGCAAGTGTGTGCTGGACCCCAAGAACAGCGACATCCTCATCAAAACAGAGTGAGTAGGGGGCCGCTCGGCCCTGGGGGTGCCCCCCCAGCAATCCAGAGGGTGGGACTTCAGGGCCAGCGCCTCAGCTGGTGGAAACTGGCATCGCTCCATTGATTCCACGGGGCAGGCGAAGGGTGGCCTAGTGGTTATGGCTTTGGCCTGTGACTCAGGAGGTCTAGGTTCACTTCCTTGGGCACGTCATTGATTCTCTCCATGCCCCGGTTCCCCATCTGTCCACCTGGCATGGCCTAGTGGCTTAGGATACTCACCCAGGCTCCTTCCCTACTCTGCCACAGACTCCCTGTATGGCCTTGGGTAACTCACTCAACCTCCCCCCCCTCCGGGCTCAGTTACTCTTGTGTAGCATGGGGATACTAGCCCTGCTCTGCCTCACAGCAGGGTTGTGAGATGATGAGACACTAATACTACAGTGAGGGGGTCAACGTAAGTCCCAGTGGTTGAGGGATGGATCAGGGCCATTGTTATGGGGAGCCTCCTGAAATTAGCGCCCTAAGACATGGTATGAAGTTTCAGCTTGGATGCCCGGGGGGTGACGGTAGCGCTTGTCTTGATTCCCAGGTCTGGGACGGGTGGATTTTCTGGGCTCAGCCTTCTGCTCCTGGCCAGCTGTGACACCCACAGCGTTTTCTTTCCTCTGCTCCGTATGAGATGGGAGGTAGTGCAGTCAATGGCCAGAGCACAGGCCGGGGGGGAGGGGGGTCAGGATTCCCGACGCTGTGGGTGACTTTGGGCAAGTCTCCTGGCCTCTCTGGGCCTCGGTTTCCCTGCCTGCCCACCGGGGAGTTGAACGTGGCGGTGCGATTGCAGGCTGAGGCCAGTGAAGGAGATGTCCCAGACCCACGAATACCTGAGCATCGAGTACTCGGAGGAGGAGGTCTGGCTGACCTGGAGTGACAAGAACAACGAACCCCACGAGAAAAGCATCCGGCAGCTGGCGCAGGAGGCGCGGGCCGGCAACGCTCACGATGAGAACGTCCTGAGTTACTACAGGTAACGCCGTGCAGCCCCCCCAACCCGCCCGGGGCCCGATGGGGAGAGTAACCCCCCCTTTGTGCTGATCTGGGCTGTTTGCAGGACTTCACCGGGGACTGGCGCTCAGCCTCACGGGATCCGATGCCGGGCTCTGAGTGCCGGCCCTGCCCTCTGCTTGGGCCCCGTGTGCTCAGCCGCTCCTGGGCCAGCCCAATCCCCCTCCTCAGGGCGAGCCAGGGAGGTGCCCGACTCCCTGCCTGGCAGAGGGGCACACAGCCCACGCCCCCCGCGAATGAGCCCCAGGCCGAAGGAGCCCTGCGGAGCGGATGCTTCTACGGAAGCTGGGGGGGGTGACGGGG